GCCAGGTCACCACCTCACTGCTCATCAGCAACGCTCGGGCAGCCTGCAACGAGGACCTGCTCACACGGGAGGGAGTCACCTTCTGCGTTAATGTCACCAGGCAGCAGCCCTTCCCCAGCCTCCCACAGGTCCGGGGCATGCGTGTCCCTGTGTTCGATGACCCGGCTGAAGACCTGTACCGGTACTTTGAGCAGTGCAGTGATGCTATAGAAGAGGCTGTGAGGAGCGGTGGGAAGTGCCTGGTTTACTGCAAGAACGGCCACAGCCGATCCGCTGCCATCTGCACTGCTTATCTGATGAGACACGGAAAGCTCCCACTCAAGGATGCATTTGAGGTATTGTACTGATAACCAGGTTTATGCTTAGCCATCTTTTGGGTAGGAAATGCAGTGCTTAGTGTGAGTAACGGTACTGTCCCATAGACTTATTATTTTGGTGCTCTCACCTGTTTATTGGCAGTTAAAGATATTCAACATATGAATAAAAATGACATTAAGTTTTTTTCACCCCCTCCCCAGTTTGGCCAAATAAACTTTTAATCTGAGGTTTCTAGGACAAATATAATTACAAATGCAAATAAATAGGCTTTAAGCAAATACAGAAAGTTAGCTGTTTTGTGAACATTTTCCCTATCATTTCCTTAGTCATGATAAGTGAAGTTAAAGACAGGAACATAATGAAAATGAGGGAAATGGATGCGAGTGTGCGCAGTTGTTGTTCTGCAGGATTTGCCTTTATGTGACAGTCAACACAGCAAAGAAACATCAGCCGTTAGGCCTGATAAATAGCTAGAGACAAGGTAGTGACAAGTGATAGCATCTCAACTGCAGCAGGAAGCCTGCCCAATACATACGACTTCTGCTCTACCTTTTAGTCTCCATCCATTTGGTAGGTACATCACTAGAGGAGCCTCTCATGTAGATGACTGTTTTGCTCAGTGCTAGACAGGGGCGTGCAGATTCATGACCAAGTTTCAAACTATATTGAGCGTCCTGACACATGAGCAGTGTCACCACACGGACCCCAAGTCAGGAGATCTCAGCAGGCACAGGGTGAAGTCAGCTCACCAAAATATCTGTTTATTATTCCATAGCCAAATCAAAACCAGTCTTAAAGCCTAAGAGGAAAAAATCCATCTACATGCTACCTGCCCTTGCTTCTACACTGTCTCTCCTCTTTCCTAGACTGTGAAGACTGCCAGACCAGTAGCAGAACCCAATGCAGGATTTTGGTCTCAGCTGCAGAGATATGAAGAAGATTTGCAGATAACCAAGCAGTCTGAGCTGCTGAGCAAAGGACTTAACTCTCTTTAAAACATTTCACACACTGCTATCTTTAAGTGGCTTGCAACAGATTTAAAAGAACTGGGGAAAAAAACCACTTCCTGTATCAGCTGTACACAAAGCACATTACTCCTCAAACTGAGCTCATGGTCCATTAAATTCATTCAGAGCGTTACTGTTGAAGGTGCATGGGAAAGGGGCAGGTAACCAGGGGGAAACAGCAGAAACAGAAAATGGCTGGGAGGCCTGTAAACAAACCAGAGAAAGGCATGGAATCTGCAGCATTTATCTCACCTGAATGACACAATGCAATAACGTATTGAATGAATGAGTTAGTGGTCACTGAAGAGGGATTTTACTCTTGGTTTTCAACTAAACTTCCCAGTGACTTCACAATATACACTGTCCAGAGGACAAGATGCAGATGGCGGTGAGGAGTTCAGCTCCCATCATGCAAGTTAAATGGCTTTCCAGCTTTTGAAACTATTCTTCAAAATTCCAAAGGAATTATTTTAAAAACAATAGTTGATATCAGAGGGAAGAAGATGACACTGGCAATCTAAAAGTAATCCTAACTTCTTTACTCACTAAGCCTTAAAGACCTGTCAGTGCCCAGTTCATGCCCTAATGTATCAGTTTATAAGTCAGCTCTATCTGCATGCAAGCAACATAGCTAAATCATTTCTGCTTAAAGTTCATTTCATGGCTAAATCCTTTTATGCTTGCAGGTTGCCCTGTGACATTATCTATTGGGATATCAAGGAGGCTGCACAAAACTTCTAAATCAGACCATAATTTTGCTTGGGAAAAGTCAGTAAAAGCAGAGAGAAAAAACAAGGTATTTTGTTGAATAGCATTAATATATTTGTAATGTAAAAGGGACAATTTATGAAACCTGTGAACCTGCAGTGTGAAATTCCACTGCACATGGCTCAAAGCATCAATACAAAGTAAAGTGAGCTCATCGACAGCTGCCTCAGTGCTTACACAAGGCAAATACATGCTCACAGCAGTGGAGTGGTTTAAAGCAGAAATTCTAATGATGGAGAATAAAGGGCACTGGGGAAATACATTAATCAGACTATTCAGATGCAGTAGAAATCCTCAAAGTTAAAATAGGATTATTGTAAAAGGTGAAAACATAGAAATAAAAAGTAAAAAATCGGGCTATGATCTTCTTAGTTATCACAAAGCATTTTAGCACCAGATGCTTGCTGCGCACCCGGCTGTGTTTGGTTCATTCTGCATCATAGCTGTATCACATCTGATATCTGCATCACAACCAACAAGAAATTATTATATGAGTGGTTATTAGGGAATTTTTTGTAGCTGATACAAATCTTGACCATCATACATAATATGAATTTCAGTATAACGAGACTTCTAGCCCGTAGTATATAGGCTATATGCTTGTTAATGGCCAGGGTACCACTCATCAAAGAATCTGTTTCAGTCAGTTGTCTGTGGAATAAAGTTTGTTGCCAAAAGCTAAAGCTGCTGGATAAAAGTAGGAAGCTAAACATTAATGCAAACCCAATCCATTGCTAACTGTGAGGTGTATTAACTTGCAGTTAAGTACAGCATATTAGTTCCGCATTTTTGAGTCAGCCAAAATAGAAACAGTTGGTCTCCACTGTCAGGATATACTGAACTCTGAGGTTAACCTTTACCAGGCTCCTCAGCATTCAGAAAACCTTCATGCCGCAGGATTTCACATCACAGCATCTGCTATAGAAACCTATTTACAATTGAAAACCATCTGGAAAACCATTTTTGTTTACACTGAAAACCATACCTCCGCTTTGTACTGCTCCAAATTAAGATGAAAGATTGCAGCTTGGAACTGGAGCCCTGGAAGTAGTTCACGTCTTTATTTGAGGTCATAACCTACTATCGTTACAAGTGATGTAAAAGGTAAGTTTAGACGTACTCCTTGTTGCTTATGACTGTCTCAGAGTTTTTGGTGTACGCGTGCTGCTGAGGAGCCGCCTGGCCTGCTGAATATGGGTATTTGTTGAAACTGTATTAAGAAAAAGAGATACAAAATAATAGGTATTACACACATTTTCACAGCTTCAGATACCTGGGAAGTCACTGATCCAACCCACTGACAGCACACACTTCACGAAGGGGCAGAAATTAGAGGCCTGTTGTTCTCATCAGTCTTGCACCTACGGGGAAGGAGGTGGGCTATCTGACAGACAGCACAGCCATCTCTCTCGTGTAACCAGAAACACACTCTGGATTCCTAACTCACGTGTGCTCTTCCTCAAGGCATTTTAGTCGAGTTCCTAAAGCAGAAGAGAACCTAGACCTTAATGCCTTTGTGCAAACTGCAGTTTTTAATACAGGAATCAAGATGATGAGAAAAGAAAACAAGTATCTGCAGCCACCCCCTTCGTCACGTTGAACTTCTATTACTCTGTTCATCAGTTTTACCTGATTTTCAAGGTACTTCAGGACATTTGGTACTTTGTATGGAGAGCGAGATCTAAAGTCCAATGTGGCTGATGAAATATTACTGTAAAAGCTAATTGGCTTCAGATTAGGCAATGGAGTATCAGAGGAACACTCTCACTTATCATCTGTTTTGACATAACTTTCCTAAGATTAAATACAGTAGCAAGGAGCATGCTTCTTCCTTCCATGTTACCATCCTCCCAAGCTTAGCCAGTACAGCCTCCAAGCCATTTGGGTTCTTCTGAGTAGAGATGGACCCCTTCTGTTTCTGATAATTTCATTCCCTCTCCTTCATAAAGGGACTTTCTGTATGTGTGAATAATATTGGAGAAAAAAAAAATCCAGGCAAGGTCAAATATTGAGGCCAGAACTCTCAACTTACGTGTTTTTATGTGCAACAAGACATTTCCATAAGGAACAAAAGAAAAAATCATATGCATCTAATGACCAGTTTAATCTCCTTTGGGAAGGAAATGCCTTTACACTTTCTGCAAATTAAATGGTGTTTGAATATTTTAATAGTAGTGAGTATTGCAGAGAAACTTGATTGTAATACACTATTTTTTTTATATCATTTTCTTTGGGCAGTAGATAGTTCTCTCTTTCACTGCACATCAGCACGTAGATCTTGGAACCATTAGCAGTACCCAGATTTACCAAATACTAGTTATAGGTGGCCACTGATGGCAAAGCATTAACAAGTACTTTATCTGGGAGGTACAAGTATTGGCACAGCATGCCCTGCCATCACCAGTCCGTGACATGTCATAGCACTGAATTAACAGGTACAATTTCCTGTTTGTACTTTATATGGCTACAGATGTATATCAGAGGGTGAGAGAGAGCATAGTAGACAGTAGAAAATGGTATATAATTGGCAGCTGCTATTTCAACTGCCAAATCCCAGATTACCTGTAATCCTGGTTTTTCTTCTGTTTGCATGAACAGGTCAGTAAGATCCCACCAAGCATACAAAGAACAGATCCAGCCCAGCCTAAGTACAGAGCATCTCCTAGTTCATACCTGAAACAGGAAATATTTTATGGAAACAGCATGTAATGGGATCACAAAGCCATTATTTATATCCGTATATACACTGAGGCATAAGGTGCACAGATCACACAACCAAGTTCTAGTCTGCATAGGAAGCAGCTAACTGAAAGCTTGCTTCAACAGATAACAGAGGAGAACAGATCTGGCTTTGTGACAGTGTTCTGTAAAACTCTTATGTGTATTTTAACTGCTCTGCCAAATTAGTGTCAGAACGTACTAAGCAGCATGAAGATAAGTAGCAATGACTACTTGTGTATATTTAATAAATTGTTGATACAATAAATTATGATAATGTACCTTCTGGGCAGTCCACAACACTTATTTTGCCCTGGTATTGCTTGTGCCACTGAAGTAATTTTGGGAAACTCAATGATTCAGACCTTACCATCTGTGTCACGAGAAAAGGCTAACCATCAGTTTTCTACGGACAGGAAACTAGATCACCTACAAGTAGCTATTTGTATAGGGCTAGTTTTCAGACTTTTATATCCTAAAGAATATTCAGCACTCTCTGTGGTTATATGGCTGAAATCTGTTTATGAATATTTCCAAGTTGAAAAGGAATAGTTCCCCATTTTACTGTACAATAATGATGAACCCGCCCAGTCCAGTCCAAGAAATTCACAGATGATGAATTTGACCAAAAGACTACACACAATTGAGCCAGGGCAAGTCTGGCAGGAATGTCACATAAAGAAGAAAACAAGTTTCTACATTCGGACAAAGACTATAGCCACAATATGGCTGTACCTCTGTGCTCTGAGACACCTAAATACAAGGGCAAAATAACTGTCATAGACTGTGTAGGCGGTGTTCTGAAGCCAGGTATGTGTGGGGTTTTCCACTTCAAACAGAAAATCATCATTTAAAAGTGTCAAAGTTTCTGACTCAGAATTAATTGCTAACGGGGAGGTTTACATGAGTTCATTGCTCTCTGTGTTCTCATCCCAGGTTGGAACCACAAGGTGTCTGCTGTTTTAGGCACACTCCGAACACAGAACAAGGAGATAATAATTATCTCAAAAAAACAGGAGTGCAAGTTGCTGAAGTAATAGAAAAAAACAATCGGCGAGCGTTGCCCAGTGCATGCCATCGCCTCTGCTCGCTAGCCACCTACAGACAGGAATGCTGCAGATGTCATACCAAAGCAAAGTACATTGGAGGGATATGGAGAACTTACTTAGGGTGCCCTCACAGCTGTATGAGAAAGTCCATTAAGAGTTAGTAAAGGTTAATTTTACTAATTTGCTGAACAGAGGACAAGAAAATGCAATCTGGAAAAATAGATTTGACAGTCTTTTAAGGGTGAAGATCAATACTGACCTGCAACTGATTTTAAACCTGTCTCACAGAGTCCAAGAAGCACAAGCTTCCTCAAGAGCATGCCTGTCTTTCTTTACCAATTATCAAAGTTAATTCACTAGGAACCTTTCAGTAAATCGATAGTTTAGATATTAAAAAAAAAAAAAAAAAAAAGGTATTTCTTTAGCTACTGAATGCAAACAGTCTGGTAACTGATTAACATGCATCAGTGTTGAAGCCCCAACACTATAGCAGATAACTATAAAACTCACTAACTATCCCACTAACTGAAATTCCTTATCAACAGTTGTTTCGGTCCTCTAATGTATTTATTACCCTTCATATAATTCCCTCAAGGGGATATAAAACAACAAAAAGTATTCACAAGTGCAATTTCTTTGTAAGCGCTTGTTTGAAAACACAAGGAAAACTGACAAACATCCAAAGCAATTACTTAAAGTACTTTGATTCATAACAAAGCACTTCACCTCTGACTTCCCTGAACTGGTTCTCACTAGGAAGCTTACAAAACACTTCAAATATGAGCCTAGCAACTAAAGATTTATAGTTTACTGATCAAAAAATTATATACTCGGTAGATAAATGTCCCCCTTTCCCCAAAGCTGCTCTCTCATGTTCCACACACAATATATTGTTTCCCTCTCCCTTTTTCCCCCCTCTTTGAAGGAGAGGCTGGGTCACCTCAACCCTTGTTCCTCATTACTAAATATGGCCCCTAGATAAGGTGCCATAAGCAGCAGGCATTTGGTTTTGAAGACAGCTTTTATATTCTATTTTCTAACAGCTTTTATGTCGGAGAAGAAACTGGGCTTTTATATCTTCAAACTTCTTTGTGTGCAACTGTACAAGCTAATAGTCCCACAAATTTTGCTTGATTTTAATTCATGAGGCAAACAAATGTTGAGCTGTTAATACAGGGTGAATTTTTCTTTTTTTCAGACAAGCAGCACACTTCAAGTGATGTTTCTCAGCTGCCTGCAGGTCACTAGTATGCAGTTCAAGCTGGTTTCACTACGTCTTTTTAGTTGCTTGTACATTGAGGCATTCTATTCTAGCCATAGCTAGAATTCTATGCCTGTTTTGGTCTAAATGCTGCAGAAAATTAAGACTTCTACCTTTTCTTCTTCACAGCACTGAGATGTGAGCTTAACAGTACAGAAACCACTCGGATGTGGGGTTAATGTTCCCCGCATTCACTAAACCTTCCACTCTCCTCCCTCCCCCACCACCATCTCTGAGGTGAAAAGATTCCCTAAAAAGACAAATCTTTCCTCCTGTAGGTCTGGATAACAGGATCCATCCAGGTTCTGAAAAGGGAGCAACTGAGGTTAATGCACCTGTCTGTAACACATCATGCAGTTTGGTATGGTAGATCTAAAGACTTACTTGGTTCCAGCATACAATGGGTCAAAAAACTGAGTCGTAATCATCGCAGCGTACCAAGAAACAGCCACCATGGCACAGAGACCTACCAGACAAAGTTTAAAAGCACACAGGTGAATGACTCCTTTAATGGCTCTAACAAACAGCTTCAAACCAAGAACATTTCATTTAATTTAGCTGTGAAAGCAATACAAAATGTGAAAGCATTCTCATTTCAGCCTCGATATTACCTCCTAAAATAAAGAGAAATCCTCCCGTGACAGCAAACTTCATTTTTCCGTCTTCATCGCTCAACCCAATGTTTGAGCACTTCAAACCAAGCAGCGAGAGTACTGCAGCTATGAATCCCAAAAGAACAGAAGCAATCATCAAGGCACGACATGCCTGAACATAAGCTAAGGAAGAAAAAGAGGAAACAAATCAGGATCTGTACAGAAATTAAATGAATCTTGTGCTGAAAAAAATAAAAGTTACTAGGGGAGTGACAAAATTAACATAAGCACTAATGAAGGAATCTTCTCTTTGTTATTTGGTTCAAAGAAGCATCCAAACCTTAGTTTAGCCTTTAAGGTTTCAGAGTCAAACTACACTTAGACTTTATAAGCTCAGTAAATCATGTTGGGCCTTTAGTAAAGTTTCTTGGGTTTAGTAAAACCTGAAACATCATTATAGCAAGCCCTTCACAGCTTACATCTTGTAGGTCCTGTGAAAATGTGTAGCAGTATATATGGTCATTTACAGGAACAGAAGTAAGTTTCTTACTTGCAAGTCCTGGTGACTTCCTTACACCTGTACTGCTGAGCACACAGGACACCTGTGAACTCCAGGTCCTAAGCCAAGGTGTGCAGGGCTCTGGCACTAGAGAGTAATTGGAAAAATGTGCCAGCTTTGCTACTTCCAGTGCGAGATGGGAAAGAAAGTGCTCGAGTTAGCAGTGCACTTTAAACTCTGAGTTGGAGTAATGGTCAGGAGACAAGCAGAGCCAAGACAAGTATGTCCTCTGTAAGACATACTCCTGCAGAGAGTTACAGCTGGTGTGGGCACATTTGGTAAGGTGGTGTGCTGATGATTCTGCATCACTTACTTAAGCTCCCAGTCTCCACATTTAGGTATTGAGCGCACAAAAATTGGCCAGATTATTACCCAGCGTAAGAAGGAAGGTCAGACAGGGACTTAAGGCTCCTTTAAAATGGCACCCTGGACCTGACAGGTTCCAGGTCAAATGGCACTTTGGCACCTTTCTTACGAGATAAACATGCCAAGTGTCACCAACTGGGTGGGTCTTGCCTGCTAACTTCATTGGACTCTGTGATCTTAAAAGTCTTTTTCAAATCTAAATGATGCTATGCTTCTAATCAAGCATCAAAAGGGTCTGCGTCTGTGCAGTCACATCACTGATGCTAGTATTCAAGCTCCTGCTCCCTGATCACCTCCATGTCCTCCATGATAACCTGCTCTCTATCTCTGTTAATGGAGTCAACCTATAACCCTTCAGAGAACAAAACTCAGACCCAGAAACAAACAGGAGGTGACGTGACAGATTCACGCACAGACTCAGTGGGCTCTATAGCTTTATGTGGCTTAAGAGTATTGATCCTGCAAGCATGAGAGTTATCAAAGACAGTAATAAGCAGTCATGAGATAAATACACAGAATTAAAAGGATAAAATCATTCGAGGAATTAATGTTTTGTTAAGCACTAATTTTAAATTTTCTGGGGAAAAATATACACACAGTAATAAAAGTGAAAAGACCCCTCAAAGTACCATTAACAGTTCAAGATTTCTGCCTGCAGAAGATACTGTTAAGACAAGTACTCAATTCTGACACTGCTTTCTAGTCTGGGATCTTACACCATGGCAGCAAGAATCCAACAACTTCACATTTCAGGTGTTTGGGACTCAGTATTAAATGGGACGGGGTGTATTAGAGAGGATTCCCTGTATCTTTTCAGGACACACCAGCTCACCCTCAAGCTAAACAGCTTGCAAGCCACTAGCTGTATTATTTGAACAGAACAGATTTCATACCATAGCCTCTTTGTACCAAATTACAATAACTCAACAGCCTTGACTGAAGAGCTTACTTCACAGGCCAGAAAGCTCAAGTTTTGGTTGTCTTTATCTTAAAAATGAGCTTACTGGAGAAGACACAAAATCAGTTTATCAATCAATACTATTTGTAAGAAATTATTCCAAAATCCTGTCACTGCAAGAAATACCTATGGAACTTTGGGGAAAAAATAGAAGAAAGAGAGTTTAAAAAGCATTTGGCAGCTAACTAACTGCTTTATATGAAATGTTTCACCTATTTGTAACTAAACCATTCATGGTTTCAGTCTTACGCAATATTGGTTTTAAAAAGGCCCTCACTTCAAACATTTGTGATTTGGGCTAATGGCTTGCTGAATTCAAAAGCCTTTAAACCTGTTTAAAAGAACCAAGTCTGGTATTTTCCATGCACACAACAAACCCCAGAGGTATACCATGTAGCACAGCTGCCAATAAGGAAACCTTCATGGAAAATCTTTATGGTCCTTCTGATGAGAGTTAACAAAGACACTTCTGTTTTTTCTTCTTTTTTATCCTCCTGCCAATCCCTGGCATCTGCTGCTGCAGCAGTTCCAGCTAAGTTTCTAAGTTCAAACACACCTAAACTGACCATGATAATTTTTAGCCCACCTTAACTCATACGTGCAAGTTCTAGAGACATCTCTTGGAGGTCCCCGTGTTTGCTCAGCCCTCATCACTGCCAGACCCACTTTCTTTCTCTTTCCTGGCTTGCCCAACTGTCTTCTCAACTTTTTCTACAATTCAATGTCTTCTAATTGTTTTCATTTTCAGTGTCTTCTAAAGGGTTCTAAAACCCTTTTTTCTTTACAATTCTGCAAGCTGCTTTTCCATTCCCCCTCCTCCTGCCTGTCCCCCTCAAATACACTGCCATCTTCTCAGCAGTGTAACTAATCTCCTCTTCAACAGCTCAGATTTAATCTTCACACATTCACTTTCAGACCCTGGCCAATTCATTTACTTTCTGTCTGAGCCTGGGTTTTTTCCATTCTGCTGACTCCATGTTGTTATCTGCAGTTCTCCAGGAGCCTTGCTGTTGCTTGCATTTATTTCTCTTTTGCTTTAGCACACTTGTGATGCTCTTTCCTGCACCTACTCCCCCCCATCCAATTCGTTAAAACCCACTTTTTTCCTTAGCAGCTCCAAGATGCTGACCTGATGTGGCCCCATTGCCCACATCTGCACAGATGGGAGCTCTATGATACTGTCAGAGGCAACACCCCATGTAAATACATCAAAGACAAGATGCTGCCCAGAGTTAGTAGCAATGTTATGAACCAACCCTTGAAGTGGTTTATACATGAACCAAATGAAGACTCACATAAAGACATGATCCTGCTATTGCCAAGTCAAAGAAGTTTAAATAGGGTTATGTTTCTCTTCATTCACACAAGCATTTTAAAACCAATTGTTAGATAAAAGAACAGATTATTCCCTAACTGTTGGACACAGATAGTTTGAGAGAATTGCTCTGGTAGTGTCAGAGATGGTCAGCAATATAGTTGTATATCAGACTGAGAGGGAAAGCTGATTTAAAACATCCTTCCCGCTAATCCTGTATTACACTCTCTTCAGATTAGGAGTAACCTCCTACCTATTTAGTTTAGCCACCTCGCAGTATAAATTCAGCTATGCAGGAAGGCATTTTTATTCTGGGATAAGTATCTAGACACTGAGTTTCTCAAGATTAATAAAAAACAGCTTTACTGTCTATAAACATGCTTAGTGTTCAGGGAATGGTGTTTTAGCTGAGCATTTGATGATGATCCACAATTCTGCTAAAGGCTGATACAGGAACCAGCAGAAATAAATGTCCTGATATTTAGAACCACATCCAAGAAGACATAAGTTAATAAATCCTGACAAGTATATTAATCTATAATATACACTCACTGTGTAACTTATAATACATGTAACATATACTCATTGTATTTCTTGCATTATCTACAATTTTGAGTCACAACACACAAACCCCCACTACTACTTCTTAGCTATAATAGTATTTCCTACCTTTCATATGAAAAAACTCCAGCTACAGTACATTAGCTATCAAGTATTGCAAAAGAAGCCCTGTACCGTAATTCCAAATAAACATGGAACTGTCATATGTGTTAAAAGATGTCTCCTGGTAGTTCTTCGCACAAGATGCTAGAACAGAGATCACACCATATTTTAAATGCCTATTAAAATAAATGTTTGATCAAGTGATTTCATTTGCCTTATTTTACAGCCTTTCCCTATGTGCCTGACACGTTCTGCCGCTTAAGAGATTTTTATTACTTCAACCCACAAAGTCCTTCTTGGCCAGTTATTTTCCAGTACTACCAGATTAACAATCAAAAGCCTTAATACTTTTTTACCAACAAGTTCTCAAGCAGTATGAACAAGAACGCACAAAATCACATACCAGGCAATGCAAGCAGAGAGTCAAAGTCTCTGCAGTTGGATACTCCAGTGCTGTCTTCTGCACAGCTCTTCCACAGGTTTTCAAACAACGTGACTGTTGTGATCACACTGCCATGTACACTGGAGACTTTCCAGTAATCATGGGGCAACGTAGCTCCAATAGTTGCCCACCCACCCAAGCACAAAAGAAAACTAACAATTTCCAACACAGCAGTCATCCTTGTGAGCAGTAACAGTTAAATATCCCTATAATTAGATTATGATCAAGTGAAGCCTTCAGAAGCCTCCTTGCTGTTTAATCTCTGGGTTTCACTCCAAAATGAGGCTACCTTTGCTCTTTGCTCAACCCCAGATAAGGCTTACAGTGCATGACAATAAGAAGTGGGAGTAGTTCATGATAAAGATATTAACATTTAACAAAAAAATTACAAGATCCATTCTTTTTTCTAATGAGAAGTGACAAAATGAGCCTATTCTTGCCTCAGCCTAGAAAGCCCAGTCAATATTTCTACAAAATACCTTATAAGAGGGACAATATTAGCAAATATCGTATTTCTGTCTCTCCTCTGAAGTCAACTAGGGTTTACATAAGATTAAAATTGTTTTTAATTTTATTATTGATCTTAAATCAAGAAGCCTTATTATTTTCTTGATGATTCAAGCATAAAAAGGCTTGAGAACAGGAACGTTATTCTGTTGCTATAAAATTTAATAAAAGAAACTCTTTTTGAACTTATGGTCATGAGTAATCCATTGCAACTCTATTGCCAGCTTCTTTCAGGAAGGATATGTCTGTGGATGAGTGGTTTCCATTAATATTTTACAGTCTATTGATCTACAGTTAAACACATTTGATCTTAAAAATAGTCCCACTTACATAGGGATACAAAATTATAATAACATATATTTCACAGAGATGAAATAGAAGGGGACAAAAGAGCCACTGTGACAGACCCATCTCAAAAGGACCCATCTTAAAAGGAATAAAATGATGAAGGAAAACAGCTAGCTGAAAAGTAATAAATATCAGCTGCTTGCATCTGTTTGTCAGAATATCACAATATTGAAACAAAATATATCTATTCTAGGCAGAGTAGAAGCATGTTAAATTTGGTTTACTTGCTTCTTGACTAAGCAAACCCATACACTCGCTTCACATCACCCACTAATGTTAATACCTTCAACGGTTTGTGTATCCAAACAGGGTTAACCATCTCTTGCAGTAATAACCTGCTCTTATCTGCAGGAAATGGAGTCACAGTTTCTTCATAAAATAATTCTGCTATGACGCAACATGGTAAGAGATTCATGGCACTTACATAAAGGCTACCACAAGAATTAGCCGCTGAGTCACAGTGTGCCCGTAACATATACGTGGGGTTTCTTCCAAAATGCACTGGTCACCTTGAGCTGATGCTGTAGGTTGGTGGGTTCATGCTGCTTTAACAACCAAGAGAATCATTGCTGTGGAAGCACAGCCAGTGTGATCCTGTGCAACTCTACAGTTGCAAACTTCTAAAGAAACTAGATGGTATGTGGTAAGAATTGATCTTCTCCGGTGACTTTTACAGAATTCCCTCCTTCTGCGAAGTCACTGCAATTTGGAAAATGATAGTATAGTAAAATGAATGCACCGTACCAGTATACTGGAGTATCTGCATCCCATTAAAAGCCCTTCCAAGAGTTGCAAATTAATCTGTTCATATGCAAGTGCTACCCTGGCGACCTCAACAATCACATCTGCTGATGGCACTTTCAAAGTTGAGATTAGCTGGAACCTAGCATCAAGTATCCCCAGATTTTATACAGCTGCCAAGGATTTGGCAAAAAATAATTCAAGAATTTAATTTAATATATATATATATATATCTTCCTAATTATGAAAGCTATTTCAGCAGGCAGCCACAAAGCACACATACACACAGAAAATATTAAACTGCAGACCTGGAATGCATGAGTTTTTCCTGTATGGCATCAACCATTTTAATCATTCCCTTAAGGAAACAACTTTTCAATGGTGTTGAAGAATAAAGGTCTATTCTCCACTAAATTTCATAAACCATGGCTTGGTAAGTGATGGACACCACAGCAAATGATGCTTCGCAGGAGGCTCTGCATCAGCAGCGCAAAGGAGTTGGTTCTGATGGTTTCACATCAATACCATCCATGATTTGGGAGGTTTCCTTAAGACTTGGTCTGACCCAGTTGGGTGAACTGAACACCCAGTTCAGGCTGGAAGTCTGCAAGTGCATTTGTGGAGCACATTTCCCCGCTTTGCTTCATCCACAAGGAAACCAATTTCTATACTCAATACAAGTACAGTAAATAGGAATTACTGGAAAATTCATTACATTACTAAAGTATTCCTGATGTAAGTCAAATGCTTACATAGATATGCCAAGATATGACCATATATGATCATGGCAATATGTGACCAATGAGAGAAATTGCTCCTAATCCCTCTGATGTTCTCAAAATAGAGCATATTTGCACGTGATATGGTTGAGAGTTTACAGGCAGAAACAGTATTTTTCAAAATCGGATCAGCCAATACAGTCGGGGTTAAGAAACACCACTGCAAATATTAACACCTTAAGTGTTTGATCAACAGGAACTGTACCTTTTTGATTACTCATGTAGATTTATTTCAAGACCCAGGAACACTGATTGTGTACTCTAAGAACAGACACAGCCCTGCATCAGACAGCAATCACTCTGTAGGCAGCCACATGATGTGCCCATCAGCTGGCATGAAGAACCCTGTGCTGATTTTAGGGAACACACAGTTCTTAGAACACACTGGGTGTAATGAAACTGCATTTAAAAAAACAGGAGGCTGTCCCACATTGACTCTGCTTGTCTCCATAACACAGCTGAAACATCTGTTTCTTCCTGTTACAAGAGGCAAAGCAAAGCTGCCACACCACTGTAAGCATCCATGCCATCTTGCAACCACGCATGAGAACTGAAAGATTGGTGGCCCCACCTCACCACTCTGATTTCCAGAAATCATACCTGAGTTTCTAGATGAACCTTAGGCATCCTGGTGTCTACACAGGGGAAGTTTTAGAGAGGAGCAGTGCAGGTACCAGAACAGTATGAGAAGCTGACACTGACACAATAGTGTTTTTAAAATCCTTACAAGCATTAGTTTTGGGCTCCTGCTGCAACAGAGTTAACATATTTGAAGAACTGGCAAGTTCTCGCACAGGAATCACTGCTTGGTTACTTCGTTTTGGTAAACCTTCCTAGTTCCTAGTATCCCAAATACATTCTTGGCTTTTAAGCACTTTAAAGAATATGCTGAATCTTGAGAGTTCTCTCTTGAGAGTCAAACTCTCACATTTTAGAGATCTGCCACAGGCAGCTCTGGCTTCAGTGCTGCCTTCAGTTCATGTTTATGTCCAGAAAAACAAGTGTTCATAACCTGTGAGAGGTGGCATTTGTAAATTTTGAGCTCTTCACATGAAGAATATATCAGCTGGAAAGAGTCCAAACAAACAGCAATGACAGTAATCAAGGATCTATAAATCAAGAAAGGCTTGAAGAAATGATTCCGTGACACAACTCATAAAGTGACTGCACAACACTGAAAGTTGTAAAAGAATAAATACAAAGTTCTGTTTTGAACACAAAGCCTAACAAAACACCAGTTTTTAAAGGGTGTTTTCTGAGCAAAGAACTTCAGTGTCAGTCCTTCCTAGTCCTTTACCATAAACATGGTGTTTACAGAAAGATATTTTTAAAATCCAGAACAATCTAACCAGATAATTTTTCAGTCCCTACAAAGACAATTCTCCTTCTATTTGCAGGTAAACTACCCTGCTAACATGGCCTATCTCGGAAAACCCAGAAGAATCAGTGGCACAGACGTGTTTTAAATTTAAGCTAGCCACTCCCGAGAAATCCCAGAACAAATACACAGATTTAGCACCAAGTATCACACAAGTTCTGGAATATCTAGGAAGCCCTGTCTCACACCAAAGCACAAAAAAACACCAGTGTTCGCTGACCTGTGGTCTGCTTTTAGTTAGGAATTAAGCCAAGTAAAACTATGCTATTTCTTTCAAAATAATAATAGCAGTAGTAGTAATAATAATAATTATTATATCATAATCTTAGATTCATTGTATATCTTTATGTCCTCTCAACAGAGATGGTAACAAAGCCACACCAGTTACTGAGCTGAATTGTAGCATGAAGCATATGGATTTAACCTGTCTGCAGGTACTACAGGACAAATCTTGTCCATCCTAGACCCTCTGTGACCACAGCAGCATGTGCTGTCCAACCACACTAGCATGCTGTCCAGAAAGAAGGAATAAAATTACACCCCATTTTATACACATATGCCATACACACTTACTGCCTGAACTCAACATGTAGAGAAATTTCTTGCACTGAACTGATCTAACAGCAGTCACTGCACAGTCCATCCAAAGACCTTCAGAAATCCAGTCTGTAGTAACTAGCAGTGTTCCAATGTCTGAAGTTTTCCATCTGTTGGACATGGTAGTAACAAGTAAAATGGTGAATCCTGCTAAAGACAGCAGCAAGGCACAAATCTGTAGGCAAGATGACGCCATTCTTCTGACAGAGGTTGTTTTCAAATAAGCCTTCCAAAGTTCCTGATATTAGAAACCTGTTGGAAGAATTGATACACATACAGTAGTCGGAGTTAATCTTTACACAAGCCAGACCTTTGTGAAAACATCAAAAAGATGCCTACCTACGAAATAATAAATTACATAATGGAATCGCAGAAATGGAATCCAAATCTCATTAAATAATTGGAATATTTAAATATTCTATGACATCTGAATATTTTCTTAGGAACACTTTTATTACTATACATGTTTACCATGAAAAATACTGACAGAGCAAAACCAGAGGATCCATCTGAGGAAGGAATTCTCTAATTTGAATTTGCAATGTTTCATCATTCTTTACTTGCTTGCCAACTCAAAACTCTTAAAAAAACAAAGCTACTACATGCTCCAATAAATTAATTTCCCCATTACAATGCCTATCATACAAATTTAAAACAAAATAAATGTGGATACTCACGTTTATGGTATGTTTCTAACCTCTTTCATCTACCTTCCTGCTAGACACGGGTGTCAGCACTTTGTGAAGACGAGTTTGATCAAACAAGTGAGAGTTTTGTACCCTTTAGAACCTTTCCCCCCATTCTAAAAATCAAGGACTCGAGGCCAAAGCTCTGCCCCACTGTTGCACAAAAGCTCAGACTTGGTTCTTGGCTACTGAAACAGATGGCTCAAACAAGCAGGTTACAACAAAATCACGTATATTAGTACCAAAGGTGCTCGGTTTAACCCGGCAACCACTGACATAGAATTTCCTTTGTCAGTGCCACTGAGCTGCTCACACCCCATTAAAACTCCAAAGCAACACAGAAAACTACTACAACTTTCACAGTGATTGTTTTACTTGAAGCTTACGTTGCGCTTTTCACCAAGACACTGTTTTCATGGAAGGAGGCCTGTGTTCATATAAGACAGGCAACAACTGAAGGCAGGATTTGTTTCAGGCTGCAGCCCACATTGTGAAGGAATATGCAAGCTCCCTGCATTACAAAAAAAAAAAAAAAGGAATTCAAGCCTCCTTCCATACCCATTTGTTTTAAGTGGCTGCAACACTCAGGAATTGCAAAGAAAGAAGGATTAAGTTTATTCCCCTTTCTAAAATGTGTATATTCCACTACGAAGGTTTAACCTCACACTGAGAAGGGAGCACCTGTCCCTTCTGCGATTGTGTAACCTCTTCAAAACACACACAATTGTCAACAGAGAATATCTGAAATAAATGATTTAAATTAAGCAGGCAAATAATCTAAATGAATGTTTCTACCTATAACATAGATATCACCTGTACAATCAAAACTCATTCCTGGCAGTAAGAAAACAAAACCATATGCTCCGCACCATCACTATGGGTAGGACATATGTCAAAGCTGTAAACACAAACTTCTCATTAAAATACAATAATTAAAAATATCATAGGTTTCAAATGAGGAAGCCTGGAAACAACATTTCACAAACACAGAATCATAGCATCATAGGATGGTTTGGGTTGGAAAGGACCTTAAGATCATCTAGTTCCAACCCCCTGTCATGGGCAGAGATGACAACTTCACCCCCCCCCGCCACCCAAATTCAACCATGTTAACTGTTACAGCAGGACTACAAATACCACTGTAAGAGTCCTTCCCTAACCGTTAAAACAACTGTCCAGTATTAATGCACCTGTTAGAGATGATAAAACATCCATGAGCTCCTCCTCACTGTGGGCGAGTGTTCCTCAGGAGAAAGGTGTGCATGTGGTCTGAATCTAGATGGTGACATTTCACAGAATCATAGAATAGTTAGGGTT